GAGGGGGTGCGGGACCCTCTCCCCAGGACCGAGACACGGAGGGGGTGCGGGACCCTCTCCCCAGGACCGAGACATGGAGGGGGCGCGGGACCCTCATCAGGACCGAGACATGGAGGGAGTGCGGGACCCTCTCCCCAGGACTGAGACACGCTGCCTGCCCCACGCTGGGAGGAGGCGGAGGAGAGATGGGAAGGAGGAAGGAACTGCATTGCGGTTTCTCAGCGCGTCTCCCACCTAAGCCACCCAAGCGATCTACAGTGAACCGCTGGGATTCGTAAGAAAATGTTCCAAGGTCACTGGATGGAAGGACAGTTTAGAAAAATCACCAACTAGTCTAAGCAATTAATGAAGTTTTAAAAAGGCATCATTAACAAAAACGTGAAAAGTATCCCTTAACTAAGAGGAACCCTAATGAAATACGCAGTTTCTACTGAGAAATACAGCAATGGCTGGAAGCACCGCAGCAAACCCGCCGGTGCCAGCGCTTGGGTCTGCGGGGAAAGCCCGGGCACCGTCGGACCCCACTCAGTGACGCCCCGTCTCTCTCAGTGCTGGGGTCTGCAGGGGAAGCTTGGGCACCGTCGGACCCCACTCAGCAACACCCCCTGTCTCTCAGTCGTGGGGGCTGCAGGGGAAGCCTGGGCGCCGTCAGACACCCCTCAGCGGCACCCCGTCTTTCTCTTGTAGGGCAGTTTCCGTTTGACTTCCTTCAGTTGGAAGCTGAAATGAAGGTGGGTGACCCCCTAGTGGGGCTGGGGGCCCCCAAGGTCCTGTACACCCCCTGGGTGGCAGCTCCATCCAGCCCAAGCCCCCTTTTCCCTGTTCAGGCCTGTGAGGGGTGCTGGCCCCAGAGGGCGTGGCGCAGGACATTCCTGTCCCCGCTCAGTTTTGGGGAGACTTGGCTGAGCAGTGGGAGCTGGGGAGTCAAGCCCTGTTTCATGCTGCAGCAGCTCAGAGGCCTGGGCTCCAGAAGCTTTCAGCCTCCTTGCCCTGGCTTGGGAGGGACAGGAGGCTGCCTGTGCCTTGTAGGGTTTTGGGGCTCCATGTCTGACAAGTGCTTCCATCCACAGGGGGAGAAGGGAGACCGAGGTGACGTAGGACAGAAGGGCGAAAGGGGTGAGCCTGGGGGCAGTGGCCCCCCAGGACCCCCCGGCTACCCTGGGATTCCAGTAAGTCCCAGCCTGTCAGACAGACTGCATGTTGCAGAAGTCTGGGTCCAGGAACTGAGGGCGGGCCCAGCCCAGCCGCTGACGTCTGCCAAGGCTGGAGAGGCCCCTGCAAGTCCAGCAGCCCCAACGCGTCCCTGTCCCTGCAGAGCTCCGGGTCGTGCCCTCCTGCGGGAGCCTGGCCCAACTGCCTCTGCTCCCCGGCTGGGTGGGATAGGGGTTTAGGCCCGTCAGTCCTGAAGACTCCAGAGAGCTCTGGGTCCCAGCTCCTGCCTGGGGGCCCACACGTTGTTGGGGGCGGCGCTGGTCCCTGTCCCAGGATCGCGCCCCAGGGAAGGGTGATGTTTCTCAGGCTATGGCGTGGGCAGGGAGGGGACCAGTGACTCAGAGGCTGCACTCACGAAGGGGATCGTCACAGACACAGCCGCAGCCCCACGAGCTTGCCCGACCCGTGCCCAGGCCATGAGGTAACCAGGAAGCGTCTCTTGTCCCCGTCCCTAGGGTCCCAAGGGAGAGAGCATCCAGGGCCAGCCTGGCCCACCTGGACCTCAGGGACCCCCTGGCATCGGCTACGAGGGGCGCCAGGGCCCTCCCGGCCCTCCAGGCCCCCCCGGCCCCCCAGGGGCCCCATCATTTCCTGGCCCTCACAGGCAGAGTAAGTCAGTGGGGAGTGGGCCCTGGGCAGAGGCCACGTCGTGTGGCTTCGTGTTCCCAACTTGGTTTCTCTCCTGCAGCCATCAGCATTCCCGGCCCTCCGGGACCTCCTGGGCCCCCTGGGCCCCCTGGAACCATGGGTGCCTCCTCAGGGGTAAGTATCGAGGCAGCCAGCCGGGCACCTGCGTCCCGTGCCCTGGCTGGTTCTGCAGACCCTGCCCCTCAGAGGCACCATCCCACGGACCCCACAGGGAGAAGCACAGGAAGCCGAGATGCGGTTTCCGGGGCAGAAGTGGGGCGGGGCCACGGGGGGATTCAGTGGGCTCAGGAGGAGGACCCCGGCTGGGAAGTACCTGGGGTTCATGCCCTGTGCACAGAGGCTGAGGGGCTGGAGATGGGCAGGGGTCCCCACAGTGCTCATGGGGGTGGCTGCCTCAGTCCACGCCTGCCCAAAGCTCTGCAGCCCCCACCCAGCATCCTGAAACGGGCATCCCTTCCTTCTGCCTCCATCCCATGCTCCTGCGTTTGTCCCGCCAGGTGAGGCTCTGGGCCACGCGCCAGGCCATGCTGGGCCAGGTGCACGAGGTGCCCGAGGGCTGGCTCATCTTCGTGGCCGAGGAGGAGGAACTCTATGTCCGTGTGCGGAACGGCTTCAGGAAGGTCCAGGTGAGCACTCTGTGCAGCAGGGTCCCGACCCGTGGAAGAGCCAGGGCCTCTTCCTGGGGCTGGCGGAAGGCAGGAGGCCCAGACCCCCAACAGGGATGGAGGGTGGCAGCCAGCACTTCTTAAACTTTGGAACTTCTAGAAAAGTTAGTAAAATACTTTTGTGAGCAGTTTCGGGTTCAGAGAAAAGTGAGCTCAAGCGTCTTAAAGTGGATGAACTCGTGGTTGTAAGGGGCCCTCTCCTGGGGCTCCCCAGAGGTTCACGTCGCAGTGAACATTTACAATGACAAACATCAACTCACACGCCCATTAACAAGACATGGCGTCTGACGGGACAAGGTGGCAGGTGGCTCAGTCCTTCAGGGTCCACGTGACGGCCACAGCGTTGTGGCTCTGCACCCCAAGTTGCAAACACCCAAGTGGGAGGAAGTGTGTCCACACTGCTTAGCACCGTCCTTGCTCATGGGCCTGGCTCCTCGGACACACCCGGGGTGGTGCCATCCAGGCAAGGACAGCCCCTTTCCTGCTTTCCTAAAATGGCCTGGGAGGTAGGAGCGGCCAGTCTGACCCAGGGGGGCAAGGCTGTGCTTGCTGGGGGAGGTTTGCTTTCATGTGGCGAAGGTGAGGACTGGTAGAAGCCCCGTGCTGCTGGAACGGCTGTGACGTCCGTGGGAGCCTCCACTGCAGAGCACCACACACTGACGCAGCCCTGCCTGCCAGAGCCCTTCCACCCTCAAGCCACCTGCCCCCCCCCGGGCCTGGCTGGCCCCTGCAGCACCCCAGACTGTGAACCCCACTCCAGGAGAGGCTGCAGGTCTCACAGCAGACACTGAGCTGGTGCCCGCTGTGTGCCAGGTGTCCTCGTAGGCACTAGGACACAGCCCCGTCCCAATGTTCAGAGGCTTTGGTCCTGGCAGGAGGAGGCAGGGGTTGGCATCCTAGCAAACACATGCTGAGGGCCGGGTGCTGGGGAGAGAGGGTGGATGCTGGGGAGAGAGGGTGGCTGCTGGGGAGGGAGGGCGCCTTGCTGTGGGCAGGGAGGGCCAGGTGCTGGGAGGGCCGGGTACTGGGGAGGGAGGGCTCCTTGCTGTGGGCAGGGAGGGCTGGGTGCTGGGGAGGGAGGGCTCCTTGCTGTGGGCTGGCAGGGCTGGGAGCTGGGGAGGGAGGGCAGGGAGGGTGCCCTGGTGCAGGCCCAGCCGCAGGTCCTGGATAACTCTGCTGCTTTTTTCCAGCTGGAAGCCCAGACGCTACTCGCACGAGGAATGGTGGTAAGAAGCGTTTTGTCTGTTAGACTGGTGGGTGGTCAGAACGTGAGGGGGTACGTGCTGTCTCCTGTTTTGGGAGCAACACCTGGTCCTTTGGAGTCCTGTCGGCCCCTGCTGCAGAAAGGGGTGCAGACCACCCCAGTTCTTCTGAGACTCTCCGCTGCCTGTTTCATGAGGGTACCGCTCCCGTCCCTCAACTTCCTCAATGTGTCTGCTGCTCGTTGGCTTCCTCAGGGTCAAATCCTTGCATCCAAAATCCACATCTTGTGTTTTTGCCTTCCCTTACCCAAAATGCCAGACCCAAGAATGGTTATCTGTAGAGTGGTGGGTGACTGGGTGGGTGAATCAATAGGGAGCTGGGGGGGTGGATGGACAGGTGGGTGAGTGGATGGGGAGGTGGATGGACAGGTGGGTGAGTGGATGGGGAGGTGGATGGACAGGTGGATGGACAGGTGGGTGAGTGGATGGGGAGGTGGATGGATAGGTGGATGGACAGGTGGGTGAGTGGATGGGTAGGTAGATGAGGAGGTGGATGGATGGGTGGATGGACAGGTGGGTGAGTGGATGGGAAGGTGGATGGACAGGTGGGTGAGTGGATGGGTGGGTAGATGGGGAGGTAGATGGACAGGTGGGTGAGTGGATGGGTAGGTAGATGAGGAGGTAGATGAATGGGTGGATGGACAGGTGGGTGAGTGGATGGGGAGGTGGATGGATGGGTGGATGGACAGGTGGGTGAGTGGATGGGAAGGTGGATGGACAGGTGGGTGAGTTGATGGGTGGGTAGATGGGGAGGTGGATGGACAGGTGGGTGATGGATGGGAAGGTGGATGGATGGGTGGACAGGTGGGTGAGTGGATGGGTGGGTAGAAGGAGAGGTGGATGGATGGGTGGGTGAGTGGATGGGGAGGTAGATAGATGGGGAGGTGGATGGATGGGTGGATGGACAGGTGGGCGAGTGGATGGGGAGGTGGATGGACAGGTGGGTGAGTGGATGGGTAGGTAGACGAGGTGGATGGATGGGTGGATGGACGGGTGAGCGGATTGGTGGGTAGACGGGGAGGTGGATGGACAGGTGGGTGATAGATGGGAAGGTGGATGGATGGTTGGATGGACAGCTGGGTGAGTGGATGGGTGGGTAGAAGGGGAGGTGGATGGACAGGTGGGTGAGTGGATGGGTGGGTAGAAGGGGAGGTAGATGGATGGGTGGGTGAATGGTTGGGTAGGTAGATAGATGGGGAGGTGGATGGATGGGTGGATGAGCAGGTGGGTGAGTGATGGGGAGGTGGACGGATGAATGGTGGACAGGTGGGTGGATGGGTGGGTGGGTAGATGGATGGTGTGAAAGTGGGTGAGTGGATGGGTGGGTAGATGGGGAGGTGGATGGACAGGTGGGTGATGGATGGGGAGGGGAGGTAGATGGTGTGAAGTAAGTGGGTAGATGGGGAGGTGGATGGACAGGTGGGTGATGGATGGGGAGGTGGATAGATGGGTGGAAGGTAGGTGGATGAGTGGATGGGGAGGTGGACGGATGGGTGGATGGGTGGAAGGCAGGTGGGTGAGTGGATGGGTGGGTGGGTAGATGGATGGTGTGAAGGTGGGTGAGTGGGTGGGTAGATGGATGGTGTGAAGGCGGCTGAGTGAGTGGGTAGGTAGGAATATTTTCATTTTCCTGAGTGTTTCATTCCACTGCCGTCAGCCCCTCCTTGAGTAGAGGTCATGCCTCCTTAATTGGCTCAGGGGTGAGGCCTGATGTAGAGCCGGGTCAGGGACTCCTCACAGGGCTGAGCCTAACTCATCTATGGGTTGTCAGTCAGCCAGTCAATAGTCATGGCCCGTCCTGCGTGCCGGGTAGCACAGATGTCCTGGGTAACCGACAGCCCGGCCCTGTGGAGCGGACACTGGGGACAGCAGTGCAGGCAGAGTGCGGTGGTTGGCGGCCAGCTTGGGAGAGCTCAGGCTTTGGGGAAAGGCGCAGAATCCATCAGGAGAATCAGGCCTGGGGTCTGGGGTTTCTAAAGTGTAGGTCACCTCTGTGAACTGAGGCAGATAGAGCAAGTGCTCAGGGGGTGAGAAGGTTGAAGATCACCACGCTGAGGTCAGGGCCCCTGAATTGGAGCTAAGTCAGCAAGACGAGGGCAGGTCAGGGCATGTGGGCAGTGAGGGCCGCAGCTTCTGAGCGCGGCTGGGCCTGCGGGGCCTGAGTAGAGGTGACCTGCAGTGCGGCACCACACCACACAGGACCCCCCTCCCTGGCTCCTGCCCACGCTCCCCAAGCAGCCCTGGGGACAGGGTGCAGCTCCCTGCTCACCAGCTCGGAGTCCAGCCCAGAGGGAGGAGTACTTGGAGGGCCCCCGCCCACTGGCACCTCATCTCCGACCTGCAGGACAATGAAGTGGCTGCCTTGCAGCCCCCTGTGGTGCAATTACATGAGAGCAACCCCTACCCCTGGAGGGATCACCCCCGTCCCACTGCGCGGCCCTGGCGGGCAGACGATATCCTGGCCAGCCCCCCTCGCCTGCCTGAGCCCCAGCCATACCCCGGAGCCCCACACCACGGCACCTACATGCATCTGCGGCCGGCGCGCCCCACGAGCCTGCCTGCCCACACCCACCTCAACTTCCAGCCTGTGGTGAGTGCCTCCCAAAGTGGGCTCAGCTCCACTTGGCCCCTTGGCTCTCAGGACAGTGGAAGAGGACCCAGCCCCTGCAGAGCTGCTGGGGTCCTGGGCTTCAGCCACGGGTGGGCATCTGCTGGCTCAGGGCCACTTGGGGCAGGTCGGCAGGGCCTAGGACTTGCCCTCTGGTGGCCAAGCGGCGGTCATGGAAGTCCAGCACCCAGGAGGTGGTCCTGGTCACATCCTTGAGGGGGCAAGCCTCCACCTACAGAGGCAGCAGGGGTGCTGCCATCTGGGCCCTCAGTGTCCCATGGGCATTTTCCACTCAGTCCCCCACGCCGTGCCTGTCCACACGGGTGTGGGCCTGGGTGGTGCACCCAGGGCCTCCGGGACCGCGCCTGGGGGCAGAGGGCGCACCTGATGCAGCCCGTGGGGTTCACCTCTCCCCGCCCTCCTGCACCCCTCCCCCCCCCGCAGCTCCACCTGGTTGCACTCAACAGCCCGCTGACGGGCAGCATGCGGGGCATCCGTGGGGCCGACTTCCAGTGCTTCCAGCAGGCGCGTGCCGTGGGGCTGGCAGGCACGTTCCGTGCCTTCCTGTCCTCGCGGCTGCAGGACATGTACAGCATCGTGCGCCGCGCTGACCGTGCAGCCGTGCCCATCGTCAACCTCAAGGTGGGTCGATTAGTCCTGAGGGTGTGGCCTGTGGGGTGAGCTCCTGGCAGGGGCCTCCCTCAAGGGTCTCTGGAGGCCGCCATGGTACAGATGCTGCCACAGCCTGGCGACTTCAGGGCAGGCCCTGGGTAGGTCCCACCCCGCAAGGCTCAGGCATCCCAGGGCACTGCCCCATTCCCCAGGACTTCCCAGGAGGCCCCCAGGGTGGCCCCGCCCCCCGCCCCCCCGCCAATGCCTCTCAGAGGCTCCCATGCTGCTGGCCTGAGTGTCCACACAGGCGACCGGCCTCACATACAAGCCTGGAATGGGGGACTGTCCCTTGGGGCTCCAGTGCCATCCAGCCTGGTGGCCCTCTGCCATAGCGCCCCACCTGGCCTTGTTCTGTGGCTTTTTGTGCACTGGGCTGTGGTTTCTGGGTGCCCAGGGAGCACCCACATTCCCCAGAACCGACAGCATCACAGACCCAGGGTCCAGGGCTGGGGGTAGGTGCCTGCGGCCCGGCGCTCCCCGCCCTCTGATGGCCTGGCATTAGGGGACTGGGTTCCCTGCCTTTCCGAGGCCTCTTGGGGTCTGCAGACACTGTCTGGCCAGGGCCGGCTCCCAGTGGGACGTGCCCCGGATCTGCAGAGTGCCCATACACAGGGTTTCTCCCCAGGACGAGCTGCTGTTCCCCAGCTGGGAGGCTCTGTTCTCAGGCTCTGAGGGCCTGCTGAAGCCCGGGGCACGCATCTTCTCCTTTGATGGCAAGGACGTCCTGAGGCACCCCACCTGGTAGGTCCCCTGTGCCGCGCCAGCAGCTCTTGAGAGCCCCCGTGAGGGTGGGCGCCCACGCTCCCAATGCAGTTCACCCTGTGTGTGGGCAGATCTGAGCCATGCTCAGTGCTGAAAAATTAAAAAATCCAAGAGCGTCTAGAAAAACGAAAACTGCCCTTTGACAGGTCATCATTAGCCATTCTAAGAATGCCCTTAAGTGCCCCGTCCCTCTGCCCGTGGCTGACAGACTCCACGTATCCCGGGCTGGCACTGAGCCTGTCGTCAGCCATGTAAGCTTCGCCGTGAGTTTATTCTCCAAGAATAAACTAGAAGGGCAACACAGTCCAAGCATGTGTGCCCTTAAAATGTTGACTGCAATCTCCCGTGTCCTGAAGGCTTCACCCCAAATGTCCTGTGCCCTCGCTGTGTGCGGGCTGCGATTCCAAATGTCCTGTGCCCTTTCTGTGTGCAGGTTCTGATTCCAAATGTCCTGTGCCCTCGCTGTGTGTGGGCTCTGATTCCAAATGTCCTGTGCCCTCGCTGTGCGGGCTCCGATTCCTCCAACACTGGTGCTTTTCGGGGCGTCTTGGGGCACCACACAATGTCCCCTGCGGTGCCTGGCCATCTGCTGTGGCACATATGCAGCTGCCAAGGGTCTCTGACGGGAGCACTGTGGGCCGGGCTGGGCCCCGGGGCTGCCTGGAAGCCAGGAGCTGGCGGGCGCAGCTGGTTCCTAGCGAGGCAGCCCCAGGAGGCCACTGCCCAGCAGGCATGAGGGCCAGGTCCACCAGCCCCCCGAGCCCTGGCCCCTCTGCCCCCTGCCGTGGGTGTGTCTGGCAGCGTGGGGTACAGTCTGGGAGATGCAGCCCCCTCCACAGGCAGCCGGCTGAGAGGCCACGTGGCCCTCCAGACTGTGGGAGCTTCTGTAGCCCCCTAGCATCCCTGGTGTTGGCCTCCTGCCTCCACCTTTCCTGCCCGAGGGGGGTGGCCTCTGCCCTGAGCGCAGCAGGTCTGGCTGTGGCTGATGGCCTGGCTTGTTTTACAGGCCCCAGAAGAGCGTGTGGCATGGCTCGGACCCCAGCGGGCGCAGGCTGACCGAGAGCTACTGTGAGACGTGGCGGACTGATGCCCGTTCGGTCACAGGCCAGGCCTCCTCGCTGCTGGGCGGCAGGCTCCTGGGGCAGAACGCTGCCAGCTGCCACCACGCCTACATTGTGCTCTGCATTGAGAACAGCTTCATGACTGCCTCCAAGTAGCCGCCACCTGGATGCGGAGGCTGGAGAGGACCGGCTCCGAGGGAGCCCCCACTGTGGGCAGGGAGCGGCTGGCCAGCCCCCACCCCAGGACCTGGCTGGCATACTTTCCTGTATAGTTCACGTGTCATATAATCCTCCAGAAATAAAAGGAAGCCAAAGAGTGTATTTTTTAAAAAGTTTAAAACAGAAGCCTGATGCTAAGATGCTTGCCTCCCCAGGCCTGCCGTGACCTATGAGCCCAGCGGGCATGACCTAATGGTGCGGCCTGGGTCAGGCAGGGTGTGGCATCATGCCCCGTGCCACCTCTTGGCCTGAACCAGACCACAGCTTGATTTCGACAGGAGGCCAACCCCGACTTCCTGCTCTGAGAAGCTGTGCTCGCCCCGGCGGACACCGACTTCATCTCCCACCTAGTACCTCCTTCTGTGCACAAAACCCAGACCTGTCAGCAGATGGGCCCCGTGAGGCAATGGGGGCTTCACCATACTCAGCACAGGGCTACCTGCCCCTCCAGGGTCTGCGCTTGCCCCGAGGTGGATGGGAGGGTGACTCAGGTTCCTGGGGATGGGGGCAGCCCCTTCTGCTCAGCTCTGGGCTGTTCTCCACAGCAACCCCAGGCTGGAGCAGATTTTCAAGCTCAGAGGCCCACTGTGACCCCTGGCTCTGGCCTGTCTTCCACCACGCACAGGAGCCTGGAGCTGGCCCTGACATGGGGGCGTGTCTTCAGCCCTGTCCATCCTATGCTGGCCTCCAAAATGAGCCATGAGATACATCCAGAGCAGGGAGCTCCACCCTGGCGGAGTCCAAGCTGGGAGCTTTGAGGGACCCATGAGTCGGGGTGTGGCAGCCTCCCACCCAGGGCCCCCATCCCATGCCCAGCACCCCTTTTCCAAGGTGTGGGTGCCCAGCGCTGCCTCCGGCCTAAGCTGAGCCCACCCCCAGTTTCCTGCAGCAGAACTGCTGGGGTTCTGAGTCTACCTCAACAGGGCTCAGAAAACCACAGGGAGCCCCCGCCAGGACGTGGCTCAGCCACACTGTCCAGCCGAGAGCCAGGACAGAACAAGGCACGTCGAAGAGGCTGAGGCTGGCACAGGACACATAGAGGCCAGTGTGCAGGGCCGTTGGGGAGGCCAGTCATCTGGGCGCCGCCATGGGCAGGCTGGCCTCAGGTGCAGGGCAGTCATCACTGTCTGCTGGGAAGCCTGCACCCTTGCCTACCTTGGGACTGAAAGGGGCCCCTGGGGCGCACACAGGCCGTCCTGTGGACGAGCAGAGCAGCCACGAGGTGCGATGATGTCCTCTGTCGCTGTCACCCCCGAGATCCAGCAGCATGGACCCAAGTCACTTGTTCTGTGGAGGGATGAGTGGGCTTAGGGCAGCACCAGGCTGACCAGTGCACGGCCAGCACACACCTGCCTCGAGACAGACAAAACCTGCGGAGCGAGTTCTGTAACTGATGTGAAGCCAGTTCAGACAGGCAAATAAAAGTGACCTTTTACACTGACACTTGGTTTGCAAGCAGCCCTCACTGTCATAGGAGCAAACTCCAAAACAAGTCCTAGGAGCCTTTTAGCCCTGGAGTGCCCCACTGGTAGATCCTGAGGGAGGACGAGCGTGCACAGGCCTACGCATGTACACACAGGCATGCAGGGTGACACGGGGCATGCGGGCATGGACATACACAGGCATGCAGG